CGTTATGCCTCATTATTTACTAGGAACAGACATCTTAATGTGGCCACGCACTCGTTACACAAAATCGGATATTCGAACCCTGGTAATTGAAGCTAACCGGTTACCAGTACATTTGCATCTTACAAATTATATTTAGTACTTTTTTGCGTTATTTTTTGTGTAGATAATGAATTGTTATGGCTGCATATTCAGGAGGTATGGTCTTCTTTACCTGCGCAGGACGTTCCTTAGAGGGGCAATGCGGGATTCGAATCCGCGTAATTGAGATTAACCGGTCAGCGGCAAATTTTTTTATTACAGTTTATATTTAGCACTTAATTACGGCAAATTCCGGCGTACAGTATTAATTGCTATAGCATATGGTTTAGGAGGAACGGGCGTCTTTACATGTGCAGAGCTCTTGTAAGTGGGTAAACTCTAATATTCGAACACGGGTAGTTGAGTCGAATTGGTCCGAGGCAAACGTTTTGTTTAGAGAATATGTTTAGCACTGATTTACGGCAAATTTTGGCGAAGAGCATGAATTGTTACGGCTGATGAATTACAGGGGGCGTCTCATTTCTTCTTCGAATGCGCTTGCAAGAGGAGCGTAGCTTTCATTTTTTGTTTTTTTGTTAATGTTTTTTGAAAGAATGAAGATATCAATTTGATTTCTTCACTAATCGTTTATACATAAAGAAGCGGAAAATTTGGAGTACAGTTTTGTGTATATACTTGCAATAGTAGCGGTTTTAGAGGTGTGGTCCTGCTAACTTCCTTGGAAGTCAGCATGAACACAGATTTTTTGAGAAAATGACCCGCGGCAAATTTTCTTTTCCACATCTTAAAAACGGCAAAAAAGCGGCAAATTATGGACTATGCAGTTTTGTGATTGGATGAAATGGTCCTGCTAACTTCCAGGACGTCCTCTCACTATTGGGGTGCTTGTTTTCAGTGAGTCCCCTTGCCTCTCACTATCGGAGTGCTGGTTTTAGATGATTCTACAAATACCTTAGAATTTATTTAAAGTAAGTGCTCAAAATGATGACCCTGAACCTCAATGCATTTATTGATTCGTCCTTCAAATGAACGAACACATCGGGTCGCCAAGGTCGCTGATGGTTTACTTGACAAATCCTGTGTGGGCTTTCTACACTCCAAAAATGCATGTTATGGCGGTTAACTTCACCGTGGTTTGTAAATGTCGATTCATCAGAGAATTGTACTTGAGTAAAAAAAGTTAGGATTCGTTTGTATTCTCTGAACTGCCCATTGACAAAACTGTAGTCGGTTTTGAAAGTCATTGTCAGTTAATTCCTGATGCAAGGATACATGAAACGGATGAAATGTATGTATCTTCAGTATCCTCCAAATACTCATACGAGGATTCCCTGATTGTTGAGATATTACTCGAACACTGGCATGTGGATTTTGAGCTTCTGCAGCCAGTACCGATGTTTGATTATTTTCTTTAGTAGCAGAAACTTTACGTATTCTTTTCTTCAGTTGTACACTTCCGTCAGTAGAGAGTTGTTGAACAATTCTAACGAAAGAAGAACGCGATCGCACTCTATCAGGAAAACTTTCAGCATACAAATTAACAGCAGCGTTGAAATTTCTCCCAGCTTCGCTGAAAATGAAAATCATTTCAATTTTTTCTTGCACATTTACATAATACATGATGCAACAAGGAGGAATGGTTCAGAAAGGTTAATGTTTAATAAATATCGGATCGCCTCTGAAGTACGCACGGACCATGGAGAGACGCTACCAACAAATTGTGGGTGTGCCCTGAGGCCACACTCAAAACCACTCCAATTATAGTTGGAAATCTTCGGAAATTAAATTTTTGCGATTACAGCTCCATGTATCACAAATCAGAAAAAGTTTCAGACAAAACTTATGTATTTTTGTCCGTAGAATCCGAATCTGAAATAAAAAATGGGGGTTCCTATTTAAGATTTCAATGTTGCCCACCGCCCCACCCGCTGGGGGCAGGGGAGGATGCTGATTTTAGCATAGAATGATTCCCCCCTTCAAAGTGGTTAAGATTTGGTCTCAGCTCAATTTTTCGTACAGCGCGTTTTTTTTAGTTATTTCAAGTTGTCAAGTTAAATGGGACACATGCATATCTACTGCAAAAACATTTTATGATTGCTGTTATATCTCAGGTTACATAAATAAGCATTTTCTTTTAAGCAGTCATGCATGGAAACTAGTACTTATCTTCACTGTTTATCGATTGGACAGCGTTGCTTTGCAGTACTCAAAAACTTGTGTACCACAAAGGACTCATTGCGTATAAAACAACAGGGTACTGGAAAGTAAACAAAACACTGGGGCGACATGATTAAAAATGACTGCCAAAATGCATATTCAGAATAACGCCAAATCGTTTCAAAATTTAGACCTATGCATCACTTCGTCCATCAACATTTCATTCGAACGCCAAGGACTGCTTTTTTGTACTAAGTAGTTACGAAAATTACTATTTGCTTCTATTTCTGTGTGATACTTATTATGTAGCAGAAAAAATACTATAAACGTGCGTTGTCAAATGTGATGCAGTGTTCCCACATGCATAAAACAAAACACATGTATGACGATTATATTTATGTTGTTTGGTTAGTTAAATTGTTAAACAAAATGATTTTTCAATATTTGTAGTTAACAATATTCAAAATTAATTATTTTAATGTCATCAAGATACTGCAGTTTTGAAAGCAACTTTTTCTTTGAATGTGTTTGTTTAACTAAAATTACATTAATAAAAAATTTATAGGAAACAAAGGGTTGAAAACTCAAGGTACCAAAAGTATTTCCTCTCTCTCGCCGAGATGTAGTGCTCCCGTCAAGGAAGTTCGTTATGCCTCGTAGTTTGCCGCAATTTCTGAAAATGCTGTGACTGGATATCTGTTTACTCGATCGGCGGGGCAGGCGGATCAGGCCCTGAGGAAGGTCGCAAAATGGCGACCGAAACATCGGCACCTTCGCCATGGACGCGGCGTCACCCGGACAGCCTAGTAAATACAGAAAAGAACAGACTGACTCCGGCCGTGGAAGCCTACGCTCTCATCTTCTTTTCTGGTTATCGTAACCAGCACGTAGGTAACCTTCCATTTTTCTTTTAAAGTTTTAGGATGCTGTTGAAATACGCACGTACAGTGGAATGGAACATTTCTACCCAGCTATTTGCGTATGTCAAAAAGTTCTCTCACAGACTGTACTCAAATGTCGATTGAGTGACTGATTCTTTGATTGATTAGTGTTTTTGAGCGCGCCATCTGCTAAGGTAATTAGTCCCATAAGTGTTGTATATGTTTTATCGCGGGAGGTGGGAGTGGTCTTTCTCAACTGGAGGGTGCGAGCCGTCGCCGATCTACACGACGGCATGAAAAGATTTTGTCAACCCCATATACTATGTCTCCAGCATGGCTCCCCCGCTGGGACAAACTCTAATCTCCCGACAGATTCTCGACATGTAGTAGTGTAGTGCATATAAGTGTGTATGTGTATGTGTGTGTGTGTGTCAGTAAGAGGAGAGGTTAAGACGAAGAAGAGGAGGAGGGATCGCGCGTGGTTCATAACCCATTTGTTAGTGCAGTGCTACGGCATTCGCTTGTTATTGATCATAGAAAACTACCATTAGAGTAGAAGATCGTTAGAATTCTCCTCCAGTCATTGGCTGAATTAGACCCATATTAGATGCAGCTAGTGTCAAACATCCATCTCTGTTAGGTCTTTCACCTTCCAGTGTCATCAGTTGAGCCACCTAAGAAAATTTTAAACCTCGAACTTCCCAGTATCCTAAGCTTCGTATGCGGACCTGCAACAACACAAACAAAGCGCACAATACCGAAAAAATGAACAGTTAAACAAAAGGTGGAAGTATTTCCGCTGTACCGCCGTGATATAGTGTTCGCGACAAGAAGTCGTTCGTCACGCCGCATAGTTTGCTTTATTGCGCGACACATCCCCTGCGTATCTGTTCTCCCGATCGGGTGATGCATGCTGCCGGTCGGCGCGTGGTTGAGTGATGCGGGAAACGGTGCCGTGCGACGCGACGCGTCGCGGGCAACGAGCGGCCTGACACGAATTCCCTCGTGTCCAATTACGCGCGTATGTTACGATTCTAAATGACGGAATTGAATATGCAGTGCGGTGAGCTCGAGTCGTAATGTGTGAATTTGCTTTTTTGATGATATGAAGCGAATGCGGAGTGAATTTGTTGTGGAATAATGAGCTTTACCAGGTGATTCCTGGAAGCGAGAGAAAAGGATATGAATTTATATTGTAACCACCTACTCACCTGATTACCTGTTTTCCTTCGGCGATTCAGCTTTGCCCGGCTGCTTCAGGTATCGCCAACGGCACGTTTCCTGCCGCCCTTTACGCAGGCGCGCTTCCATCTTAAACTTAATATTTAATTCGCGTCGCCATCTGACATGTGCGACCGCCCCATTATATATTTGTTTATTGCATTTGAATGATAATTTTTGTTTTTGGATAACTGTATTGTCGTGCAATTTTCTATTGATCCACATGCTTGTAATTTGTTTAACGTTCATACTTAGGATTAATTACTGAAGCCTTCTACAATTACATTTGTATTACATATTCGTTCTAACTTGATGGCAGTCGAATCCCAGAGCTCATAAACTTAATCACAGTATCTACTCCATTCATCATCATCGGATTATAAAAATTGCCAGAGCCATCATCACATCATCTTCGCACCACCACCACCACTATGATCACTAAGATTACCCGTACCACGTCCACCACCTATAGCTGCGTCAACCCCCACCATCACTATGACTACCACTCCTACTAACTTTACCACAACCACATCCACCACCACCACCACAATCACCATGCCCAGTGCATCCATTACCATCAACACCACATTTATAGGCTTCCTCTCCTTGAAATCTATTGTATACGAATAGATAAATGAGAAGTAAAGTACCAGTGGTTTTTATTTTTAAAAAAGGCATTTTACAAAATGCGATATGTATGTGTGCAGCGCCGCCGCCGACGGAGCCGCGTGTGATGGGCCTACGTGAGGCGTACGCCGTGGGGGAGGTGGTGAGCGCCAACTGCACGGCCGGCCGCTCGCACCCGCCCCCGCACCTCACCTGGTACATCAACGGCATCAAGGTACGTTCTACACACAGCACGACATGCTTCGCGAAATATTTCTATTTCAGCGCGGATAATTTTTTATCACGTCCCGCAACACTGAGAAAGCTGAAGCGGTACCGCGGTGGCAGTATTGGGTGAAAGAAACCTGGTTTCCGCTTGGGCATGGATGTTTACCGTTGAGTTGTGCCATAGTGAGCATTCCTGCCAACCATGTACCAATTTATAAGTTGATCTCATGTTTTCTGACATCACCGTGTAGTATAGGGGCATGGTATTTGAGACTTGTACTTGTTGTATATGGATAGGGCTATTTCCTGGTGGCTGGATACTAATGTGTAACTCCGTGATTCGGGTATCGCCGGGGTGTGAAAAGAAAGAAGCTTCGTGTTGCCAGTACCGCAGCTGTAAGTCCCTATAACAGCGATGAAGAAGCTGGCGGCGGTAGGACAACTTGTTCCAGCTTCTTTGAATTGTAGGAAAAAGGACTATAGTAGTGGCAAGCAGTGCATGTGTGTGTGTGTGTGTCTTTCACAGACTGACATCAGGGGGTCATTCTCAGCGCAATACATGGTTCATACCTTATAACTCGTTACACTCGGCTTGCCAAGAACACGAACAAATATTCTTAGACAATTATCGCGCTCTCACAGATATTCTTTTGAGATGCACGCTTGTGCAATTGTCATGATTGCCTTACGAAATACCTCAAAGTTGAATAACGTAGGTGAATTTTGCGTAATGTCCGGCAACACCCATACTTCACGAAGGTTTTCAGAACTCTGAAATATTGACTTTCAGCAGTGCGCGGTACGCTAGCAAGGTGAAGTTAATATTAGGGGTGAGGAGAAACTAGGATCAATCAAAGGAGCGTATTTGAAATGTTTAGAAAGCTTCGAGAGACTAGATTGCGTCAGGCGTTAGAAATACATTGACGCGATTCTCAGTAATCGCGAGCACTGTTTGATAAATATCAGTGTGGAAACAAGTTGATGGTTGTGATCCTCGCGTGGATTAGCAAGATGCGAAGTGCGTTTGAGAGCGCTGGTTATCATAGTAAATTAGCATAGTTATAGTATGTGCCTCTGTGACTGACTTGCTTGGGATGACGAGTTATGTTACATCGTTAGTTCAAGTAGTACACAGGTCTTTCAAGTCGTCATTTATCTCAGAGAACATCGTTTGTGACACCGTTAACGATGCACTTGCATCGGTTGAGACTTGATTCAATCCTTGAAAAGAGAGTAGCAGGATTTTTATGGGCAGTGGCTCGGAAGATTTCTGAGAAAAGAAGCTGAGCAGGAAACATGTTGGTGCTGACAAAAATAGTTATGTTAAGTACTCTTGGTTGCAGCCTTGGCTGAAGGCGCACTGCTTGCGGATGGTATTATCATTCGTGCCAATACGGCCTATTCCTCGTACCCAATCGCGAATGTACGTTTTAAGTAAACTTACTGGCATGCCAAGTACGTGTATTATCACTTAGCGGCCACTGATATTTTCGTATCTGAATAGACGTTGCGTGATAGCCGGCAAATGATATCCGATGGGGTTAATTTTGGTTTCTACAGGTACTGCAAGTGAGTTTTTTTTGGAAAAGAACTTAGTACGTTCTGAATTTATTTCTGAAGTTCGATTGGGAACATTTTTACGGCACGCGCGGAATTAGGTTTAGATACCAAGAGAGGAAGTCGTAGTTACGAGAATTAGTTCGCGGGTAGAACAACAGTTGTTGGCAGCTGTTGCAACGCACGCATTTCGCTGCGATTCGTGCAGATGAACGCAAGGAGTTCCTGGAAAGAGTGACTGTTGACGCGAAGCCGAGAGTCGGAGAGATCTGGACTCGACATTGCACGAGAAAAATCAATGAAAAGAAATGGAAGATGAGGATTTGGATAATAACTCCTATTACCATACATATTAACAGAACAATCGTATTATTGACTTGCACTGAATTTCATTCGTGGGTCGTAAATACAATCAACTTTACTTCTGCATATAATTTTTTTATTTAGTTTTAACTTTGTTAATGTAATAAAGTTCATAAATAATACTCGAGTTTTTGAGTATTCTTCGTAAATGACGAAAAATAAACGACCAGCTGCAAAACCCCATCGGTCTCAGTGTTGCCTCTGCACCATTGTTGATCGGGAGGTCTCAGGATAGATAGGTGGGGTACAATTCAAATATTATCAAAAAAATAATTCACGTCATCTGTTTGGAACGAAAGTGTTTCATGTTTTATTTAATCAGTAACATGTAAATTCAGTATCCCAACAAATAGGCAAGCGATCTTTACTTCCTCTTCCTTGATCCCTACTCTTACCTCCCACTCAAAGAGTCATGCACACACGAACATGCACTAACCTATTTCGTGCTACACGACGAATTTTAGAGCCTGTCCCGGATGGAGTGGTGCTCCCTTGGAGAGAGATAGAGGGCATGTAGTTCGGTGCCGAATCTCTCGAGTCCACGCAAGAACACTGTCTTCTGGAAATTAGAAGGCGGTATCGAGTCACTTTCGGTAGTGATGTGAACTACTTAAAATACAAATAAATACATAAACAAGCTTCAATAATATGTTGCTACCTAACACGAACAACCTCTCCCATACCACCTCTGTTGGTTTTTTTTAAAAATTACATAACGAATGGAGAAATTTGGTAGAAATAATATGAGTTATTTTAAATATGATTTTAATAGTTAAAGCGTCCAGAATCAACACTCAAGTAATTACTATGATTTCTATATTAACGAAACATGATAAGTGTTTTGTGTATTAAAATGCTATCTGTTGTTAAGAGTGATATACCACGTTCGCTACCATGCGCTATTTGATTGTTTATACGTCGTTTTTTACCTTATCAGTGACAAGAAAAGGTACAAAAAACTTGGTATGAGGGTTCACTGTATCAATCACAGTAGCGACTTGTTCTTATATTTTGTGTATACCAGCAATATAAACAACCCTTTTCCATTAACAAAATCGTTCATAATATAGCATATTATTACACGAATCATTAATTCATTGCTATTACTGTACGAAATATGGGCCATCACTGACGTAATTGTCACAGCCCCTATTTATTATCAGTTATGGATTTTAAAGAAGACAGAGGTACCATGTGAATAGATTGCAGTGTTCGCAGTAAAATTAAATACGTTGTATAAATAACGAAATATACTTACTTTTAAAAACTGACTTATTAATTTATTGCTCCTTTAAAATTATATTTTGTTTTTATTTGGTAATATTAAAAGAACAACGTAAACATCAAATTAATTATTGTGAACATGTGCATTAATTGTACAACTTGATAAATTGGTCAGTGACAATCTATATTTAAAGTGCTTGTTTTTTCTTTGCTTTCTGCACTAACCAATATCTTGTTAGCTATTTCAATCTTGTTATTCACCGATTCTTCGATGTATGACTCGGCTACACTTGTAGACCGCCATCCTCCATGACGTGTAAGTGTAGTGATATCACCACTATTGTCTGCGAGAAACTTCGCGGATGTCACCTAAACGAATGACCAGAATACTTTTTTGCATTTGGTAATTTTAAAAAATTTTCAATATGTTTTGTTATTTTTCCAAATGTATTGTTACCAATTAGATTGTAGCTGCATTTGTCACGATTGTGAAACGAAAAGTATTTATTGTGTTAACATGTGAAGGTCTTATGGAAATAAATTTTTACTGACTTCAGCATAATTAAATTCTTCACTGGATACTATAATAAATATTCTGGGCTTGCCATTTTTGTTGCTTTAATGTTCACTTTCAAAACAGAACCTCGTTGATGAACAAATTTTACAACTCGACACGTCTACAAGCACCAAGCCATTCTAGCATATGCATTATACTAACTTAACCAACCTGCTTCGACAGATACGGAAGAACAACAGCTTCGCATAATAAATCCGCATGTTTTTCATATATCCATTTCCTAAACTTTAAGTACTCTTTCTCATACAGTTTGCAAGACTTTTTCGGTATCAAAGCATTTTCTGCTTTTGCAGCTTCTTTCACAATTTCTCTGGACAAATCCATTAGGTTTGAATCGTGACTTTCAAACTAATTGCCATTTGTAAATGAATCAGTTGCTGAGGTAGCATTCACGACGTCATAACATTAATTCGAGAACTACTATAGGTACGAATTACAACTACACATCCAAATTAATTTCGCTTCCTTAAATCCTTATAATACTGTTATACAAAAAAATAGTGTATGCAACTCGTTTATAATGTTACTGTTTTGCACTCGTAAGAAGATATTACCGAACGAACGACGTTAGGATTGAGTTCGGTAATATCTTCTTATTCTTGAAAAAAGGACATTATAAACTAATTGCATAATATACAATTTTCTGATAGTTTTTGTTTGGTTTTCAGTCACTTATTTTTATAGTTGCTATATGCTTCAATTATTACTAATATATTAGAACAGGAATATAGTAAGTATGTATATATATATATATATATATATATATATATATATATATATATATATATATATATATATATATATATATTATTGAAACGAAGAACGTTTCTGTAAATTAGAAAAAATTACAATGATCACAAATTATAAATTACAAATAAAGTACTGGAGTTGTGATCAGCGCCAGTAACGCCGTCGCCGCCGCCACCACGCGTCAAATCGAGGGGGGGGGGGGATACGGCGAGGCGAGCGGACGGTTTAGTGGTGCCGGCGGAGAGGCTCGAGTGAAGAACGGAACGGGGCAAGTGCTCCGTCCAAGAGATATTGTCGTTGTTAAGTGCAATTCGGACTGAGTGCTGCGGCCGTTGAGTGGTGGAACCAGGTTGTGATAAGGAATTAACAATTAGATGATTAGTGGAAGTAGAATTGCGCAGCCAGAATGATAAAAACCAATAAGACAGGCATTCGTTGTGGCCGGTGGGCTCGTGTCATAATCCCGCCCTGGTATAATATAACAGTGGGCAGTACTGTACGGACGCAAAGTTGAGAAAGGTCGCTGAAAAGACTAG